AAAACTTAATGAACAAACACCTAAAATAATCATTTGTTTCTTTTTTTTGTTTTAAAAATAGAAAAAAATATAATATAATTTACCTCGTTTATGTTTACCAGATAGAACCGATAGTGTTCTTTGTGTTTCTGGATCCCATATATGAATAGTTGGATTTTCTCCAATTTGTCCAGATGCAACGATATTTTTATATTTTTTTCCACTATGTACAGCCATTGATATAATGTCATCTGTATGTTTTAAGTAGAATTTTTGTGTACCTTGACGAATATGATGTATAACACCAGCACCTGCTGCTGGATATACAATTGATTCATTATCAGCTAAATAAAATAAATTATCTCGACAATCAAAACCACGATAACCATGAATATGATCTAATTTAAGACCCTAATAATATTTGAAAAGAATAGATTTAATTAATTATTTTTTTAATTTAATTTAAATAAAATACATACAACAATACGTCCTCGTGGTTTAGCATTATGATCAAGTGCGTCATCCGTTGACGAATGACGTTGCATTGCACTTAATAAACCTAAACCAAGTCCTGATCTAAAGTTAGAAGGAAAAAAAATAATAATAATAAAGTATTTTGTTTTCATTAATATTAATATTTATTTGATTTACTTTAATGCTACTTTAACAAGTGCTAATTCATCTTTAACTTTTTGTTGTGTTGTTTTTACTTTCAGATGCCTATCATAATGAAAAAAAATTTCAAATTATCACAAAAATAATTTATTAATAAATTACATTGGTCGACGATTTGTTGTAGTTGGTGGTCTCCGTATTTCTTTTTTATCATCTTTTGTTCGAACTGGATTAATAAGAATTCGAGCATTATAATCCATATTTCGATCATGTTGAACATCAGAATCATAACCTTCTTCTTCTGAATCTGTATTATCTGAATCATCACTTACAGGTCGTTCTGGTTGAGAAGCAAGAGTAGATGAAGGAGTTGCTCGTACACTATTAACAGTAGTTTTTGACATTGTACTTGAAGCAATATCAGTATTTCTATGTTCATGTTTCCAAACTAATGCAGCAACATCTCGACCACCAATTGATATTAAATAAGAATCGTCACATGTCCAACGTACGCGAGTGACATGAGCACTATGACCAGTATATCGTTTAAATTTAGCAGCTTTTCCCTTGAAAAAGAAAATGAAATTTTTTTTTTATAAAAAATCATGAGATAAAATCTTTCTTTCTTTTCATTTACTTTAACTGGAAAATCAAATAATTTTACAAGACCAAAATCATCACCAGTTGCTAAGACCTTTTTATCGTTCGTTAAATCAGTTGAATTAACATCAGTTATATCTGAACATGGTGGCCAAATACCTTCACAAACAAGTCCTAATACACCTGTCCATGTAAACCAATCTAAGTTTTCAATATCTGTTGTTTTAATTGATGTGATTCTAGTACCACGTGGTG